TCCCAAAGTAAATAACAAGCCATACTGAGTGGGGTTTATTAGCTTTTTGTCAGTGCCTGCCTGTCTCCTCCCTTTGTTCTGAGTCATCTAATACAGGCACTTGTGCTTGGTGAAGGCAAAAGTTCATGGACAGCATCACAGATGTGGGGAGGGGACTAGGGGGATACTGGGGTCCAGTGGGGGCACAGCAGCTGCTGAGGGAGAGTGAGAAGCATGAGACTGTCTGGCCTGTGCAGCCAAGCAGCTCCCTTTGAAGGGATCTCAGGCTCTGGTGTTCAGTTGTCAGGAGGGCTTGGCTGGAGACAGCAAGAGTAGGAAGGGTTTTATGAGGCTTCTGGCTTCATTTTAAAAGACCAGATATGCCAGATTGGTGCACTGGCTGAGAGAAGGGGATGAGGACACTGGCCTCTCTGGGGCCACAGAGAATTGCTCCTAAAAGGGTAAGGTGGCCTAAAGGAAACACTTTTTTGATAATAACACCACAGTCCTGCCCAGGCAGGAAAAAACAGATCAGGGCCTTTTGACTAAGAATATACTCCTGACATGGCACATGTATCCGTGACAGTTTAACAAGATGAATACCATAATAAGAAAGCTGAGAAAAAGGAAGAACGTAAACATAAACATGAATGAACACTGGGATTTAAGGTTTAAGGTACATTTGCAGATACCCCAAATGTTCGTAATCTCACAGCCACGAAGAAGACATCTCCAGTATTAAAAAGCCTCTTGATCAAGACAGAACTTATGAAAGTAGCTGCTGCATGGAGCAATATTTCCTAAACATTGCTTAAAAAAAGGAGATGGGAATAGATACTAGCAGGGACTAGTCTGAGACTGGGAAAGGAGGGTGGGTGAGCAGGGCCAGAGCACTGGAGCTGCAGGTTGAAGAGGTTTGCAGAGGGCCTTGCTCTGACCCTCTGAAGCCTGCAGCAGGGATTTGTGTGCTGTCAGGAAGAGGAGGCATGAAGAAACATTTAGCTCTAAGAAAGGACGAGTTCACATTCTGTCCTTAATGCTTGTAATTCCTACAAGCAGTAATATTGATTCCTGGGGCTGTGCTGACTATAGCACAAGTGGGCAACAACTGGTAGGAGGAATTTCCCAGCCCTGCAGTGTTGGGTTCCTCTGAAGATGCTGAGTGATTTGTAGGTTCCCAGCAGCTGCAACCCAGTAATGCCAGAGGCTTGTGAGCTGCATGTGATCAGGTACATCCTAGCTGCAGGTTCTGTTGCAGAAGCTGAACAGGGAAGCAGCTTTGTACCATCAGTGCTCTTCGATGCTTTCCAGTTTCCTGCTGTCATAGTCCCATGCCAGGGGCCCTTGGGCTATAAGAACACTTCATGGTTCCCATCTTTTCATAGCTACAGAGCTTTCAGTAGTATAAAGTTGATTTTTATTTGAACATATTTGTCATATTAACCTAAACCATGGGCCTGGGCTGCAGTTTGCCCCTCTGATAAACAAGGATAAGCATAACCAGTACTAGCTGAGAAAGGAGAGTGTTATTGAATGCATTCTCCCATGTCCGTGACTCATTCAAAGAGCCAGTGAAAGGGTGGCACAAGCCCATATTCCAGGGATATGATGCCAAGTGTCTCAGGCTAGCTGGGCTAGAGCTCTGACCCTTGTCTGCAGGACCTCAGTCCTCTACATTAGTTATGTTTCCCTGGACAAAAACAGCAAGATGTGGATAAACCTGAGATAAATATGGTTTCTATAGTCCTTGGCACTTCTTTAGCAGAGGGAAGTTAACCAATGTAGTTTGTTAAATGTCTTACAACTCTTTTTCAGTCATGGTTATCCATAGGTGACCATCTATTTCCAACTGTGGAAGTGGCAGGGTTTGCTGCAGCAAATTCCTTTGGCTGCCAAAGCGAGGTCTAGGGCTTGGTGCTTACCATGCTGCTGCAGTACAGATACATCCTTTAAGCATCAAGAAAGAGATGTAGATTGGCTTTTTTTTTTTCTTCAAAAAATGACATTTTGAAGTAGGTTAAATCTACCACTTTTCCACATTTTCTTAGAGAGAGATTTTGTCTGGGTGTTGTACGTGCTTTCCATGAGAAATTATTTATGAGCTCCTCAGTCCCTCATCTACTCTTCTTGATGTAACAATAGTAGATCTGGAGGAATGACCAAGGTTAGTTTTATAGTCTTGCTTCAGATGTAGTGCCAAGTTATTCAGTGCTTCGTTTTGTTAGTGCCTGAACCAAGGGGCAATTTATCTCAGCAATGTCCTTCAGATTATACCTATATACCATTTTACCAATAAGGCATGCACCTGCTGCTCCAGTCCCAGAAGAAATCAATGTTTCATTTCAGAGATGCCAGTTCTTTGCTCTCCCTCCTTTTGCCATTCTTATGAAGACAAACTTTTTAGGGGGCATGGGAAGAAATACAGAAGAATTGTGGAAAAACCTCCCCTACTTCAGCTACGACATCCTGTTCAATTTTGAATCATAAAGAAGCTCACTGAGGGCAAGGTCATCAGGGTTTAAGTGGTGAATATACATGAACAGGATGGGACATGCCCTTTGTTGGGGTCTGTATGGATGGGATGGGGCACACCCTTTGTTGGGGTCCCCTCTAGATGATGAGCCTAGACTGCTGCAGCCCTGGAAGGAAGGGTACAGTGTGACCATGGCATTGCTGTCTTTGCTGGGCAAATGCAAAGCTGTAGCTCAGTTCCTTGCTCACAGCCAGTTATCTATCTTGGCACTGGTGTAATTCTAATACATACTTTATTGCTTGTCAATATTTTAACCTTTCTGGCACATTATCCCCTAGGGCAAACGAGCAGCCTTAATAATATAGCTGATAATTATCGTCCTGGTGACTAGAGTTATCACTAGGGTCCTGTATAAATCACGTGGAAAAGATGACAGATTTCACTGGCTGCTCATTACAAAAATGGGAAGAGGTGACAGCTTAATGGGGAAGGTAATAAAACCAACAATAAAGTAATTTATAATATAGGCAATGATTCTCAGGCTTTTCTATTTGTTTTCATGCTAATAGAAGATAAATGTCATATTAGGAATAAGACCTGAAATTTCTATTGAAAATATTTGGAAAATTTCATTAAATATCAGCAATTCCCAGCTCAAGAAGTGGCAGCATGGGTCTTAATTACCTGTCTTAATTACCTGTATGAGGTCCTTAGAACCCAAGTGGGGAATAATAGTATTTGCTTTGCTTTCTTGGTGTGCTGCAAAGGGTGATGTTTCTAAATGCTGGCCACTGGTGGAAAGCAGGACAGCAGTCCTGGCAGGGATCCTGAATTGGGTACATCATGGCTATTTTGATAGGCTGCAGGTTTCACAGGAGATCCAAGCTGTCATAAGCAAAGAACAAGCCTTGAGTGCAGGTGTGAGCCCTGCAGCAGTGCTGGAGTGGTGAGAAAGGGAGGGTGTGTTACAGAGTGGACAAAGGACTAAGACACACTCACCAGAAATATATGACAGACTGGTGTTTGCACCTGTGAGTTACCTGTTAGTATTGCTGGTTGGTCCTCTGGACTGCATGCTATGAAAGTGCATGTGTGCAGCCTTCAGCATTTATACTCCACACTAACAAAAGGTTTGGGAGCATGAATGAGCTGTGGTGGGACTGCAGAGTGAGCAGGAGTGTCCTGGGAAACGGCCACAGCTCCCTGGGTGAGACCAGAGTAACAATGGGCTGAGAGAGCGGCTGAGTGGGGGCTGCCAGCCCAGCTCTGGGCGGGAGCCCGGGGGATCCGGGGAGGGAGCGGGGCTGGGGCTGGAGGTGCTGTGGGCACTGTGGTGTGTTGAGTGGGTGCTGGGGCTGAGCAGGTGAAGACTGGCGTGGTGCTCCCCAGCAAAGTGCGGTTGCTGCCTGGGCATCATCCTGTGCACTGTGGAGCCAGTGCTGCCATGGCTGGGAGAGCAGGAACACCTCTTCCCAGTCAGCAGCCTGGCCTGGGCTGGCTTGGCTCGGGATGGTCTCCTCAGCAGTGATTAATGTGAGGATGTCTCTGGGATGCAAGCTGGGGAAGGGAGAGCAGTGGAAAATATATTTGTGTCTGTGCTTAACATTCACAGTGCATTCTCTTGCATTTCTTCTAAACAAGCACTATGAGGCCTGAGCCCCAGTACCTCTAATCTAGTGAGGGCCTTATTGATCAGGTCTTGCTGTTTGGTCCCCTGAGCTGCCTCGTGTTGCACAAAAGGGATAAATTGCTCCTTATACTTTCAAGAGTCAGAATGTTTTTAGTGTATGTAGACCCATATGATAAATACAGAGGCACAGCTGGGACGAGACTAGCAAAGAGCAGAGGGATAATTAACAGCTGGAACAGCACAAACTAGTTCCCAAGCCCAAGCCCTGAAGGAACACGATACATTCATCATGCTGCTCTCTGGGCTGATGCTGCAGCTCTGGGGTGCATGGTATTGAATTACAGTCTCTAGAAAATATTGTTTGGGGAATGTTGAGGAGAGCTGGTAAACAGTGTGCTAGAAGGTGACAGATACATTTGCAGCTTCATATAGGGCTTTCGTAATAAAAAGAGCCATGTGGGGTTTTCCCCTCTCTGCCTGCCTGTCAGAGCTGGCAGCAGGCAGGCTGCCAGGCTTCGGTGGGGGCCAGCAGGGCTGGCAGCCATTGGGCTGGCTTCCTTCTCGTGACTGTTTTCTTTAAAATATTATTTTGTTACTGTGTGAAGCACTAACAATGGCTGATAAATCTCAAGCCAGATGAAGCACCATCCGTGATTCAGCTGCTGTAGATAACAACATATAGAAGGCTCTTAACACTGGATTTGGACTCAGTCTAGCCCGGACACCCCTTCTGGACTCTCCTGTCTTCAGTGTGGTGTTACAGAGGATGGCACAGAGGCTCCCAGCTCAGAGCTGCTGCTCACATGATCTGGGCACAGCTGGTGATCAGGAGCTGCACTTCAGCCATGTGGAAGATGGAGGCAGCCACAATCTATCTGCTTTGTAAGATGTTTTCCTTTCTATCTCCTTTCTTCACAGGAATTTATTCACAAGACTCTAATCTTGTGAATAGGACCCTTCACTCCTACAAACCTGCCGACGAGTGATGGCAGTGTGCCCCGAGTCGAGCTCACAACATGCTCAGGAGCTGCCTTCCTCTGGAGCATCCTGCATCACAGCCCCAGGGCCCTGAGTGAATCAACAGTGAAGCACACACCAAGGTAAGGGAGGGGGAATCCTGTGTTCTCACTCAAATGCCACATCCTTCTGGCAGCACAAACTAGGTACTTGCTTGCTTCATTGATTAAATGGGGGACTCCCACAGCCACAGTAACCAGTGGTGTCTGTGCACAGGGCGTGAACAGGGGATGAATGGTCAGGTTTTCTCTGTGTGATGATGAAAGGGGAAGTTTTAAGGTGGTTTGCTATCAATTAAAAAAATACCATGAGAATCTTGAAGACAGAAAAAGACACACAAGAGCTGAATACATGGGAAAATCTGCAGCAGCAGTATGCTGCTTCTAGATGGATTTCCCTGCACGTGGAGTGAGTGCTCCCAGCAGCACTGGAGCACGTGATGCACACCTGGATTTCTGGTAAGGATGCATCAGATGCTTTCTGCAGAAGATGTGGGATTTAAGGTTATTCCATCCTTGCTTATGTGCCACCCCCACCCCCAAGGAACACGGGTGGCAACTGGTATGGCATTAAAAATACTGCTCAAGGAATCCTGACTGCGTGGGAGGTCCTGAGCCAGGGAGCTCCGACTCACCTGCTCAGTGAGCTTCTGCTCAGCTTAGAGTTTCTGGATCCTCATGGCATCAGAGTGGCAGAGTGTGGGTCCACCTGCCCAGACTGGCCAGCTGCCAGAGGGGAGCTTTTGTGGTGGAGAGCCAGGCACCCAGGCAGCTGTGGTACCCCAGCAGTGCCAGCCAGGGTTGTTCTGGGGGGCTGCAGTGGGGCAGCTGCTTCCCCTCCAGCTGACTGAGGCAGCAGCTGCTATGGGCTTTGCTTCTGCTCCAGAGTAGTGCTGTGATTACAAGACAAACATAAAGTCACAGAATCATCATCAAAACCTAAAGTAAAGTATTTAGCTCATAAAAAATGTGTCACCTGAACAAATAGAAGAGTTACAGCTTTCCCTTCTCCCTCTTGGAGCCAAGGGGAGAGTGTACCGCTATAGCAGAAGCCTGAGGAGCCAACAGGGGCCAAAGCAGAGGATTTCACTACCCCTGGAGAAGCTCTTTCACATTTATTTGTCATGTGTTTGTATTTAATGCACTGGTTAGGGCCAGGACTTGCAGACAGCCACTGACTGTGCATGTGAATTGGTGTAAACGTTATGTACGACCATCGTCAGCTCTGCTCCCCAGGAAGATTGATACACAGAGTGAATCTTCTCAAGCTGCTTCTGAAAAGATTCATGACACTGCAGTGAAAGTTGTTTCCAATGGGAACCTCTGTGTACTGGTGTCAGCATATATTTTATTCCCCATGACTACAAGGGCTGGTTAGGTTTTGAGCCTCCCACTGAAATGGACCGCATACAATTGCCAGATAATTGGTTCTTTTCCTTGTGGGCTGATGAAGTTATGGTTCACCTCTGACTCCCCCAAGAGCAGCAGGCACAGCACCATGGGCTGCTTATCTCTCATCCAGGTGCTCAGCCTGTCTGTCCCTTCCACGTAGCATGGCCAGAGGGGAAGCCCCAAGAGCAGAGGGCAGGGAGCAGCTGCTGAGTGTGGGTTTGACCCCGGGCTTGCTGCCTGAGCTGTCACAGTGGGGCTGCAGGACTGTGCGGGTTCGTAGGGGGCTGGTCCAGGCTGGGGTGGTGTGGCAGATTCAGCTGCAGAGTGATGCTGAAATCAGGTCACTGTGAGCATTGGTCCTGGACAGGTGCTGTAGCCCAGCTCTGGCCTTTGTCCCTGTGACCATGTACTCACCTGTTGTGGCATGTCACAGCTGCTGCTAGTGCTGGTGCTGCGGCACAGGACACGTGGAACCCTTCAAATCTTGTGCTGATTGTATCTGGCTGCAATTGAAGGCTCAGGAGACCTTGGGAAAGAGCCCTTTGCCTGCCTCCCTGTCTGATTGATCTTACCAAGGGGCCATGACTGATCTTGAAAATCTTCCTGCTCCCAACTGAGCAGTCACAGAGAAGCATCAGATATCCATCTTCCCCCTTTGGTCTTGTCCTCCTTTGGATAATGATTCTCTCCTCCAACACACCTTCTGCTAGACCTCCTTGGTGTGCAAACATGTGGCTCCTCTGTGCTGGCATTTTAGAGTGGGATTGAGCAGTGTTGCTGCTTGGAGCCATCCTGTTGCTTGCTCCTCTCCTCCTCCTTGCAGGTTTGTACAGCATCTTCACCCAGTGTGAGAAGAATCCGGGGGTGAGGTGGCGTAGGGTGGTGGGAATGCTGCCACTGGGAAGGCCATGCATGCCAGAAATATCATTTCATCAGAAAGATCCTAAAAGAACTGAGTCTGCCAATCAAGCACTCTACAAACAAAGATTAATGTGCACCCCTCATGCTGAGCCACAGCTCTCTGTTTATTGCATTTTAACATTGTCAACAGCGCCTGCCGAGGTGCTCGCCGTGCTCTGCTGACCTCCACTGTTTGGGATGGCATATGAATTGATTGTGGTTGAAAGAACTTTACTGGAATAAAATGAGCTTCTCAATTATTGCCACACAAATAAATCTCTGTGTTTCAGTAATCCCCCCCAGGGAGCACTTACAAAACCCTGTGTTCTTTTAGGACCTTTCTGATGGAAAGTTCTTATTTCTGTAGTTTGGCTTTTAGGATGGCTCATCTACTGTACTGGGCACCCTGTGGCAGCAGGACTGTCCAGGACTGCTGGCACCTTCCGGAGACATCTTCCCAAAAGGTGCCAGGCACATAAAAGCTGAGAGTGCTTGGGACTATCCCTGCTAAGGCCTCTTCCTTGTGGTGCCAGTTACAGTGCTGTGAAATATAAAACATGGAAATAATTAAGTAGATTAATTAGCTAACGTTTGCACAGGACCTGGAAAATATAAAGAACTATATAATTGCTAGGTACAGTAGATTAATTAGTTAATGTTTACCCAGTGCTTTGTAAACGTAAAGGCAGCATAGCAGTGCTAAGTATTATAATTAATTAAGTTTTCGCTCTTTGTAAGATTCGTTTTGGGCAGCAACAACACCAAGAGTTCAGTTTTCCAGTTTGGCTCCACAGGAGGGAATGATGAGGGGTGCGATGTGACCTCCAGGGATGCCACTGCAGGCAGGACAGGCTGTGGGGTGTGAATGACATGGCCATGGAGTGGGGCCTGCTGGGGTCTGGCCTTGCTTTGTGCTGCTGCTGCTGGTGGCTGAGTGCCAGACCTGTGCCTGCAGGAGCAAACTACAAGGAAACTGGTGATCTGTGTAGAAGATCCCTGAGCAATGTTAGCAGGAAATTCCAGGGGCAAAAAAGTCTTTGCATTGTGTTGGTGCCTGTTACTGCTTCTGTGTTTCCTCCAAACTCCTCTGGACACTGAGGGCTGGTTCTCAGCACAGTGATGCACTGGGTGACTGTCCTGCTGCAGACACTCAGAGAGGGTCCATCAGGGCTGGGGGGCACAGGGCAGGGGATGGGGTGTAGCAGACTTGCTGTCTTGCTGCACAACAGTCCCATTGCTGCTCCCATGCCTGTTGTCTAGACAAGCACATGAACTCTTCCCTTGGGGCTCCAGGAAACCCTGCATTTGGCATGTGTCCAGGGGTGGTTTGCACGTGCACTGTGGCTGTTTGGGCACAGGAGGATGAGGATTATTGCCTGGTGCACTCAGCTGTACATAAAAACATGTTGTGCTCTTAGAGGGCCCTACATAAGAACAGCAGCTGCAGCTCGTTTGTCTCTTTTATCTGTCTGTGGCAGCTGCTGAGGGGACATGTGGGTTCCACACTTGGATGTCACTGAGATGCAGTCGTTCCTGTGCAGATCTGCAGTATGTGAAACCCTCGAGTGCAGGCATTTCCTGGAGACCAATGTGAATAGCTGGAAAAGGCTGAAGGAACTCGTAGGAACTCTGATGACCTCTATGTACATACAGTTCACTGCAACAAGAAATACCACTGCCTCACACTAACAAATGCTGCAAAGAATTAAAAACTGCCTTTCATATTTCTAATTTTCTTTATCCTTTTTAGTCTGTGGAGCTCAGAACCAATTCAGCAGTTCCTGTATTATTCTTAGAATAATTTCCCCTGATTCTTACTTTTTAAACAGCAAAGGAGGCAAAGTACTATCATCCATTCATTAACAAGTTGCTCTTTTACTCTGCCTGAACATTGCAGCCTCAGTGTGCTCCTGCCCTGGATCAGGGAGATGTGAAACTTACCCTGTATTTATTGGCAGATAGAAACTACTCTGTCTGTGCATTTGTTTGGGTAAATAGTGACAGCAGGATTTCCCATGCTTGTTCAACAAGTTAATTCACTTGGAATTCTGTCTCCCAGACGTATGCTCCCACACTGCTCCTAATGATCTGGGTTAGTAAGCAGAAGGCACTCCTCTTGCCATGCTCATGAACTTGGAGGGAGGGGATGACATGGTATCGATCACTTGTGGAGACCTCTTCACAAACGCTGTGAATCTGATGCAGTAGCTGGAAGTGTGTGTTAATCACACCCAGCCTTTCATGGGCTAAAGTGGCAGGCAAGCCAGGAGATGCAGTGCAGGGGAGGCTTGGAGCGTTGAGCCAGTGGCCACGCGAGGGAACCGCTTCAGAGGGAGAACACCAGGGCTGTGTCACACCACCACTGACTGTCATGTGAGTGCAGAAGCACAAAGAGAAGGAAGAAGAATCTGGTCCTAAATGAACAGGAAATTTGGAGCCTCCCAAGGTTCACTGCCCACCCTGCTCCATTCCCAGTTTGCTCTGATCATCTCTTCCTTTTCTTGCTAGGCATTGTGCTGGTCCTCATGTGTAGGACTGCAGCTCTCTGCAGAGCAGGACATACAGAACCTTTGGGATGCTCTGCTCCAGTACTGGGGGTAGGACTGTGGTCTTCTGTCCACTGGCAGCTGTGTGCTGCTGTGGCTCTGTGCTCCCTTCCAGTGCTGCATGCCCAGGCAGCAGTCTCTGTGTGGAGGTGTGCCAAAAGCTGTGCTTGTAGTTGTGTCACTGATGCTCTGGGAGATAAATGGGAGGGGGAACAACAGTACTTTGCTAAGCATGTAAGGAACATT